CTAAAAATTACTAGCACCATTCGCTAGACACATGCTTTGTTAAACCAAAGGCAAATGGCAAAATTAACATCTGATTTCGCTGCCTTTTCTTTTAGAACAAGGTGGAATGATCCCACAAAAATATAACAAAATAAATCCTTTTCAAAATAAGTGCAGAAGTTTTGCAACAATGCAGAGACAAAATACGTAAAAAGTCCTGTAAAATGTACCATATTTATTATCTTTCAAAGGATTTAACTGATAATTTTTTTTCGGTTTACCCAAGGTATACGTAGGCGTGATGTCGACTCCCAAGGTTAAGAAAACACAACTAAATAGAATGTAAGCGTCAATCTTTTTGGCAGTTGAAATGGAAGTCGGAATGGGCGGACGTTAGCAGACGTCGTAACAACAAATCAACGGTACATTAAAGAAGAAGTTATTGAGATGCAAGACTTCTGGGTTGGGTTGTTCAGAGCTGGGCTAAGATAGCTCAGGGTTATTGTGAAATCAGATTTAAGATCTGAGAGCTTTAAAAGAAAACTCAGTACAATTATTTTTGTTTGCAATTTGATGACTGAATGTCCTTCAAAGAGTAGAGAAAATTATCCGAGAAAGGCTATTGAACAAAGTACTAAAGAGTCCCGATTAAAATTTAACCCTGGGTTAGCCCTAATCAGCCTTTTGAAGAACTGAGCCATAGTACCCTTCGCTTAGCGAGTTTATTCAAGCTATTTGCCCCCTGTTGTCCCAACTCTTCGATAGATCCTCTGACTTCTGTCATGTTGTGTTGTTTTGATGTCGTTCTAACTACGTAAGTATCAATCATCGGTCGTATTATGAACACATTGTTAGGTACACATCAGGTAATCGCTACTTGCGTTGGCTTGTTCCTCTGCTTCATAGTCCAAAACATTTTACTGGCGAGCTCGACTTGCACATATTTAGTTCGTTTTGCCTGCCTAAAGATATCTATCACACAGGTTAGTAGAAGTTTAAAGATAGATTGTTATAGGTTGATTCAGGCATAAGACAAATTGATGAGTGTGGAGCTCCCTTGCGTACACTCGTACGTCAGAATAAGCCACAGAAAACTCGTTTAGCGATATTGGACACCCTACAATGCATTAGGTTTATAGTATTTGGAAGTTCAACCGTGGAAGAACCTTTCATATACGCAAGATATATGTTTTTTGCTCATCAGCAAGGGAACCAAATAAATTTTGAACTGATAACGTCAAGGATTCCTTTTTGGCACTATTGTAAATAGAAGGGGGTACAGAAACTGTAACTGCGAATAATAACTGGAAGAGTTGTGATATATGTCTCCTTTTGCGGTCATGCTTCAAAGCTAGATTTAAAACTGTCCCATCGGAATAAAAGTAGTTTTCTTTCAGAATTTTTAGCTTCTTGAGAACAACTCTTAACAAGAAGAAGAGCTTGCTTGTCAAAATTAGATTTACAAACAAGTTAAGTAAACTCTTCTGACTCTAGGCAAAACTTTGTCTGGTGCTCTCATGCATTTTCACACAAGAGCAAATTAATCCAATTGGACGTAGCTGGGATTATTTCTAAAAAAGAAATAATCAGTCAGCTTTCATTGTCTTCAGTGTTTTTCTTTGCTCTAGTGTCTAACCTTACCTGTCACGGAAAGGTTAAATCTGAATGAATGTAAATAAAATAAGCGAACAAGCGACCTTGTATAACCTAGAAAATATACACTAAATTTTGACGGATCAACATCGACATTGTTTACTTCTGATTCACTTAAACATTTGAAAAGAAAAAAATCTGTCCAATGAATTCCAAAATCATAGATCATCTATTCTTATATCTCATCGCATCGTTTATGACAGTTTGTTTTGCCTCTCCGTCACGGCGCGCGTTGTTATTGTCGATATTAACGGGCTTCTCTCTGCTATTCATTCCAGTAATCGTTCGTACCCCTCGGTTTTGGAAATTTCTAGGGAAATTGGTTTATTCATGTTTCAATTCATGCTTGAAGCAAAAAAGTTAGAAAGATAAAGCCAGTCAAGTACCGAGTTTGGTGGTTGACACTTTTCATTGTGACGTCGGTGTCGCGGACATTAGGTGCGGATCTTTTCCCCGTTGATGATGTTTTAGAAATACATGTAAGCTTTATTTGCCATCTGTAAATAATTCCTAGTATTCTCTAAATTTTTTTTCTTTTGATGTTTTAAAACGAGCCGACGACTAAAAGAGCTGGGATTTCAAATTGACCAGTTTTTCTTTCGAAGTGTGTGGGTGGGGG